ACGAAGGTACCAGCACACTTATCCAATGCACACAAGTTTGTCGAACAGCTTCGAAACGCCAAGTTTGATTCGAGCACGATGATTGAGTCGTTTGATGTAACGTCTCTTTACACTAACGTGCAGAATGACCAGGCTTTGCAAGTGTTATCGGAAATGTTGGATAGGTATGCTGATACAATGAACATATTTGGACTTAGCAAAGCGCATACGATGGCCCTATTGAAAGAATGTCTAAAATGCAACATTTTCAGATGGTCTGGGACTTATTACTCCCAGATATGTGGATTAGCTATGGTCCAAAGGCTAGCACCAATTCTCGCCATATGCTTTATGAGCAGAATTGAAGAGCCAGTCCTAGCACGGCACGTACGCCACTGATGTACTGTTCTTACATCGATGATTGCTGTGTTGCAAATTCAACGCAGCCCGAAATGGACGAGTGTTTCAGAATTCTTAACCAGCAATCACTGGTGGCTGCCTTATCTCAATGCTCAAGTAAAGGTGACCGCTGGCATTGTAAGAGTCAAATGGTATCGCAAGGAAAGCTCCAAAAATATCATCATTAATGTAAAATCTGCACATCCTGCTTCTGTAAAGGTGCTGTCATTGGTAATATGTTTAGAACTGCGATGCAGATGTGCAACGGAGAGGAGGAGCGATGCGAGTAACGAAGACTGGCTACCCAAATAGCTTGCATTAACGGTTACCATTGTTCACCGCAGATTCATCATCAGAGAAATTGCAACAACATTCGAGTTGATGACAAGCTTCCACTTTGCTTGCCATTCATTTCTGATAACATCAGCGCGGCCATACAGAAATGCATCGTTCGTGCGCAGCTGCAAGATGATATTATGTTAGTGAACGTCCCCAATGATAATATCAAACAGCTAGTACGTAACAGGCTCTACGATCAATACGGAATACTACTGCAATACGGAGCAATGCGTGATATGCCCGCACGGCAGAATGAGTGACTGCGCGAAGGTGGGAGTGATGTATCAGCTTGAATGTCTGAAATGTAATGCACGCTATATTGGGGAAACAGGAAGAACACTCGGCATTCGCATCAAAGAGCATTTATCAGATAAAAGGCGCAAGAACTTGGCTTCGCCGCTTGGCAGACATAGACACGAATTGCATGTTGAAGATGACTTTGATATAAAGTCACAATTCTAGCACTTGAAGAGATCTTGGCTAGGAAAGCCTTAGAATCGTTTTGGATTTCTGCAAAGAATCCAGAAATGAACAACAAAAACGAGTGCTCATCCATAACCGCTAATTTCCTTCCGTTTTTATCATTATGTGAGCTATAACTGTTTATGTGACACGTTCAGTATAGCTCAATCGTCCGTCGCGAACATCTACATCCGGCACGGACATCTAACGAAGCGGTGGTTCTCGGTATGTCTTTTGCCATCACAATTCTTATAGCACTAGATTGGGGGAAGCGCCGAAAACTGGCAGGGCTGGTAGAGACGTTTGATGGGCTGGAGTTACGGATGAAGCTTTGAACCATTCCAGGCCTTTGATGAAGACAAAAGCGTCGAAACGTAAGGCCGATACTGATAATATTAGGTTGGTACATAAGTTTTACAACTTGTTTTGTAACTTTTTTCTTTTTGAATGTGACGCATTCATTTTTGAGCATCATGTAGATTTGATGGTAGGCTACAAACCTGCTCAAACAGTTTGATTTTTGGTTTCGAGCTGGAGAAAATTTGCTCATTTTTTGGAAGTTGGTCAAAACCGAAATTTCGAGGGTACCAAAAATAAAGCCGTATTCAGTCTGAATCAAACATATCGAGCCAAAACTATGCCCAGGCTATTGAAAGAAGAAACTTTAACCATCTACACGGTTTCGGCTTGATTTGTTTGATTCATACTGAGAACGGCTTCATTTATGGTTTTCCGACCCATGAAATTTCGGATCCGACCAGTTTCCGAAAAATGAGTAAATTTTCTCCATTTTGCTACCGAAAATCAAACTGTTTGCGCAGGTTTGTAGCCTAGTACCTAATCTACATTGTGCCCAAAAATGAGTGCCTCGCATTCAAAAAGAGAAAAGTTACAAAATAACTTGCAAAACTTATGTGCCAACCTATCAAAAGGACCACCTAACAACCTGTTCGGCACAACAACATTCGACACAGACCCTGTATTCCTCAAAGACCAAAATGTAAACAGCGTATGCGAAAACCTCTATGAGCGGAGTCTCTTCACAATCCAAGATCATCATCATTTTGACCAAAATCCATCACCGAGCTTCAAGAGCGTCAAACAAGAAAAAAATAAAATATCTTGAAGATCTTGGAAAACTTGTTCGTAGAGGTTATCCGACCTCCTGATTACGAAAATAAATCACATCTGCTTAATTTAGAACGACATGATTTTTCCAGAATTCACCAGCACTCCTATCTCCTTTCGGAAAAAGTCTGCGGGCTCTAGCTCTCCATATTCTACAGAAGAAGTACTATCAAAAGATTTCTGCTGGGATATAGTAAGGCAATGCGCGCTGCTTCACAGCTTTGCGAAGGGAGGTCCGCAGAAAAATTCAAGAATACAGAAATCGGAATATCAAGGACATGTTGTATATCAGGAACCGCCTTGAGAGGTAAGAACAATGCTCTTTTTGAGTTCAGAACATATTTTATTTCGAAGGAAGTTTCGGTGAGTAATTTCTAAACGCGTGATTTTTTCAGAATTCACCAACGCTATCTATTTTGAAAAGACGTCTGCGGCTACTTTCTAACGCTCTATAATCTAGAAAAACAGTACTATCAAATACTATTTACTGGTATCTTTTACGTTAGAGGTACTGCGTTACATTATTTCGAAATGACTTGCGCAGAAGAATTTGGGAAAATTGGAAACGGAATATCAAGGCATGCTGTACAACGAAAAATTCTCTTTGACGCGGATTTAGATATTCATTCCGATGGAAGCTATGGCGCTGCGGTTGGAGCGAACCGCGTGTTTTCGCGAAATCCCAGAAATTTCGCAATTTCCGGGATGTCGCGGACTTCCGCGAAGTTCCCAGAATTACGCGACATTCATGGGAATTTCGCACATTCTGTGAGCGGTATTGTACACCTTGCGCTCTCCTCAAGGTCCCAATTTCATCTTTTTTTGAACTTGATTTTCTTGCCTTTCTAGTGTATTCAAAATTTGCTTCATCAAACTATCATTTAGGGCTTGCACGTTGTTAGTACAATAAGCTTTGACGACATTTCATTAATTGGCAGCTTCGTCATTATGAAAGGCGAAGTGCACACGAGAATTTGTCCTTTGCAGTGAGATTAAAGGCCTGCTTCGATTAGACACAACACGAAAACAATAATGCATTGTAAGCTTTCGCTGCGGTAAAACCCTGAAACAGCTTCAATCATGGATGGACTACAGAGTATTTGCACATCGCAATCTACATACAAGTGCATGTTATAGCTGTTTTGTGAACTTCTATACGCAATAGCTTTAATTAAGTGAATAACTTCTAAAAATAACCACAAGTAGTGCGTTCTTTTATCCAATAAAAGTATTAAAAGAAAAGAGAGGGTCTCTGCAACGCAGTCGAAAAAAGTAATCGTTGTAATTGTTGGAGTCGGTTTTCTTATCCGCTATCTCTCTTCCACTTCTCAGCATTCCTTGCAATTAATTCACATCTCAGTGCGCTACTAAGAGCTCTCGCCAACACTGCTCAAAAAACCTTAAGAACACGGTATTAAACTGTTTTTTAGTGTTTTATATTGTACATTAGCCCCAAAGGCACCGTCCACCCCAAGTTGAGGATTTGAGCTGTTGGTAGCATATGATAGTAGGGTCCCCTATCAAACTAATGCCCTCGTTGCGGCGCAAAATGCCGCTTCGGAAGAGAGAAAGCTTCCGAATAACGAAGATACGCGAGAACCCCCAGACGGCACCGCCCTCCCCATCCATGCCCGCCCATTTGTGCGCGCCCATCCAATCACCGTTCCTAAAAGCAGGCTGTGTGTTCTCCCCAACGGGGACATCAGGGATTCACAGGGACATGGGAAGGAACCGGAACGATTAAACCATGGTAAGCGAGAATCTGGGTGGACGGTACCTTTAAGTGTCTTCTAATGAAAGTTTCTGCAACACTAATATTTTAAGTCTGGTACTTCTGAAAGCATTGACTCTTTAAGATCTTTTGGTACTTTTCCGTCATCTGAACTCAATTTTCAAAAAGGGTATTTCTTCTTTCGTTGTATCAAATATGGTAAGAACTTCACAAGATTGAGATTCAACCTCCACTTCCTCCCACTTGTCAAAAAAATTGACATGTCATCTATAATACATGTTTAACAGCTTACCAAGTTTTTGTTTTGCTTACCTATCAATGCAAGTTCAATCTGTTTTGTTATTCAACAAGGACCCATTTTCAGTCAACATTTTCATGGATGAGCTTCAACATTGAAAGTGACATTTAAAGTGACAAAATGACAAACTGACATTCATTCCAACTACTACAATCGGTTTTCTCAAAACAAAGAACTGTGCTAATGTTCTGTTATCTAAACAACGCAACAGCAAGCTACCAAGTATCTCAAGCTATCACTTATACTCTTTCCCTCCTAAATTCGAAAGTGAACATCGAAAGTTCTTTGAATCGTTCCTAAAAGCTATCAAAATGTTTTATTAAACGTTTACGACTATTTTGCTTTTATAAAATACCCCAAAACAGCTTCCGAATCATTTCAAACGCTCTTGTACCTCACCAGAAGTGATTCTAAAAAACATGTCAAACTGGTCCCAAACGTTAATTTTCAACTTGACACATTATAAAGAGACAGTCCTCACACGATCTATGAAAAAAATTCTAGGGTGAAGCACATTTTTGAAAAGAACAAGTCGAAAAAGTAGTTTCGGATAACGGAAAAGTACCGATCTTTTATCTACCGCTGTCAGCTTCTAATTTTGAGTATTCCTTCATATCTATTATATTTCTAGAGCCTGCATAAGTTTTGGATAATTTCAATGAGACTGTTTCGGACTATTATTTAAAATGCATTTGCTTTAGCAGTTCGGTCCTTTTTGAGGAGGCACAAATTTTAAGCATTGACAATCTTCCACACATGGCATGCTTATTTGGCTTTCCAACGCTTAAAGGCAGTGTTCAAGCAAATCTAGGTGTATGGATTTTCTGCTTGAAAATTGATGAGAGTGTCATATCTAAGACGCAGCCCAAATGGCAGCGCAAATGATACACTGACGGCTGAGAAATCCATCCCCAAAGGGTATATGTCAATATGAACGATAGCTGGTACCAGTGGCGCGCGGGGTCATGAACTGGCAATAACGTGTTCGCTCAAAGCTCCGCCCTACTGCGGTGGACGAGTTTCTCGGACGATACCGTCAAGTAAAAACTCTTGATAGTGAGATATAAGCTTGTTGCAAGTTGGGGTGAAGCTTGGCTATTTACAGAATCTTGTTTTGATTTTTTGTTTCTTTTTTTGGCAGTCAATGAACAACTGATGTGTTGGTCGTGAAATTCAAGGGATTTGCTAATTTCCTATGAATGACCGAGTGACTCCTGGATATCCAACTTTGAAGTGTGAAATCGATCTAGGACACCTCAAGCATGATTGTCTGAGTGACCTCACATCCTACGACTAGTTCACACGCAATTTCAATTGAGTTACAGATCGATTTATATTTAGGATAGCAGTTTTTGGAAGAAAATAAAAGAATTTTGGTTTGATTAAGGTTCAAAAACTTACTTTTCCGATAAAAGAGATAATGATGTTGGTCACTCCAGCAATAATAATAGTATTTCTCGATTAGCTGACTTCTTTTTGAACTAAACTTGAGAGTGCGCACAAACTGCAGTGCACCTCATACTTGCAGTGAAAAATCATTTTGGACAAGCCTACTAAGAACAAATAATTGAAATACATTGGAAAGAGCTTGCGAACTAACTTTATAATGAAAAATGATCTGAAAACTGATTTTCAATGTAACTGAAATTTTGAAATCTACTGTTATTCAAATTGCAACTGAAGAAGCATGAAAGAAGTATTAGAGAGTTTTCCAATAGCTGCAACGCATTTTTAGGCTAATTAACAAGGGGGCGGAGCGATCAGCGCACCGCGTACGGTACCCAGCTGGCGGCTGGCACATGCTATCGTTCATCTTGACCGCCACCCGGCTGAGGAATCCATCCCCAAACACTCCACTCCTGCGCCGTGATAACTCGCGCGTGACTAGGATGGGTTTTAGCACGAACGTAGGTTGAGGTGAGCGAAGTCATTCTCGGGTCGGTTACGGAACAGGACTTGAGGGTTTTGAAGGCAGATTTCTCAGGGAACAGCCATAGCTAAGAAAATCGCCGAGGGCAGGCGCCCATGCGATTTATGGGCAGGCGAGCACCGGAAAAATAGTTCGCTGATTTCTTGCTGTCCGCTTGCAAAATATTTGATAGAATCTAGCGGAATTTTGAACGAATGCTTAAATAACAATCGCGGTTTCCTTATAGATTTTGCATATTCTCGCGGACTTTCCGCAAGAATATGCAAAATTCTCGGGGGCGCACGGTCATTTGTGGAGGACCGCGCAGTCCCCAGCTACTTTCCGCTGAGGGAAAGTACCTCAAACTTGATTAAACCAACGGTGACACCTCTGTCACACAGAATCTTACCTGTGCTCGACGCAAGCCCGAAAGTGCGTAAAAAGAGTCTGAGCGCCTGTTGAAAGTTCGGCCACCGTATGCTGAAAGAGATTATTTGACGAGCGCCTGCAGAAAATTCTGTGTTGCTGCCCACTGGCAGAACGTTAGACAGCAAAGGAAGTGCCGCTCGCTAAGGTTTGGCCACGCCAAAAATTCTGCTGGCCGCTTGCAGAAAAGCGCGAGTTTGCGGACCGCTTGCCCCGGCGATTATCTGAGAGGTTGCCGGCAACGGTTGTCAGTGTTGTCGGTGTTAACGAGGTTGTCGGTGATGTTGGGGTTGCCGAGGTTGGGTCGTTGTAGGACCTCATCATAGCCTCCAAGTTTTGCGCGCTCTCTAAACTGTCTCTGACCCCGACAACACCGACAGCATCGACAGCACCGACAACATCGACAACACCGACAACCGTTGCCGGCAACCTATGGCCGTTCCCTCAGCGGTAAATGTAGGATATTTTTTTCTGATATTTTTTTTGCGCATTTACTTTTCAACTCCACAACTTCGCAAAAAGTACGATCATTGATCCATTTTGGCTCAAAAGTCGCGTGGAACCGTAAAGACTTCAGGATTGGCTTGTGCTTATGCACAGTTTACGTACATGTTAATAAGGTGCTATGATTTCAACTCAAGATCTTGATTACAACTCGCTCTACGAATTTCCTGAGAAACAGACATAAATACAGACAAACAGACGACACTTAGCACTTTATTGTAAACCATGATGGTAAGCGAATTTTGAGTGAGCAAAAGAAGTAGGGCGCAGTTAACAGCAATGGATGATGAAAAATTTGACAGTAGATGCAGGGATCAAGGGAAACAATGGATTTTCATCCAGTATGTATCCATTTTCATCTCCGTTGGTAGGGCGGCGTCACGGTTTCCTAGAACAGACTCCTCAATTTGCCTTGATTTGAAAATGGACATCTCCAATTTAGAACCTGAGGATTATATAGCACATCCATTACTATACATAGCACATACATTACACATTGCTTTTTGCAAAACAGTTCGTTACTCTGCTTTTTCGGAGAAACCCTGATGACAAAAGAAAGAAAGAATTCGGAGCACCACGGTTCACGCTTTGTTTTGCAGATGATTGAGAATAATCGCGTCTGTTTGCGCTGTGGAATGCAAAACGACACAAGCTTCTGGAAAGTGTACGTGTTCTAAATTTTCATTCATGAATGTGTAAGACGGTAAAATTCAACCGTTGCAAAACTTCTATGTCACGTTGAACTAAAACAATTTCCTTTCACCAAATACAACAACACACTTTTGTGCGCCTTACAGGGCCCGGCACGAGGTGGGCAAATGACAAGCTGGAAATCGTTTTGGGGCCAAAAAGCCAAGGGGATATCGTTTTTGCGGGATCCGGGGCGGAGCCCCGGAAGAAGATTCCAAATACAAGCAAAAGAAGTTCGAATCATGCCTACCTCATACATCTTATTCATTGGAAAATAGTTTTCGTAAACCTCAACGCACAGCAGAGTTCGCACGCGCTACGCCGCGTTGCCGCTAATTGCCGATATCGCATGAGCGATGCCATTGAACAGAATGATTACATGATCAGTTCTGCAGTCGTAATGATATACCACCGAATTACGTAAGCGAACAAAGAGAGGCTATTAGAAACAAAGTATGAAATATTATGAAAAACTTATGTGAATGGGAGGGGTAATAAGCATTTTTTCCAAAAAACTTACAAAACTGGTAAATGAAGATATGAATTCAAATGGCTCGTTTGCAGCGCACAGATGACCATACGGTATGAAACTTGGGTATGAAATACATGAACATGGGCCTGCAGGGCTTAACTTAGAGGTTTCATTGAAAAATTTTGTGACTGAAGGTTGTGGCAAGCTTTTTTCTGAAAATTTCCCATTATCAAGAAAATGGAAAAATGGCTCGTTTGCACCGCAGATCAAACGAAATCGCTCGAAACTTGGTGTGCATGCGCGCAGTAGGACTAAGGAATAATGTTTGAAAAATTATGAAAAACTTATGTGAATGAAGAGCGTGCTTAACTTTTTTCCAAATTAGGTGGGCAATTGCCCACCTAATGCCCACCTGAGGTCGGCAAAACTTTCAATTCACATAATTTTTTCAAAACTTTTACATAAATCTGTTGTGCACCTAAAGTTTACTATATGGTGAGATTTTGGTTCCGAAACTCTTCCTCTTGTCTTTGTTAAAGCCCAAAATCGCATCTGCAGCCTAGCTTTCTAAGATGGAAAGCGCGCCCCAGTCAATCGATACGCGCGGGAACGGCGTCTCTCAGTCCTATGATTGCGTTATTTTGATATTTTTTCATTCTTTCATCATTTTTCTTGCTTATTCTTCTTCCTGTTTTCCATCTTGATGCAGATGAGGAGTAATTAGAGGAATTTGAGCATTTTGGGCGCTTTTGAGCGCTTTTAGGCGAAGTGTGGCCGGTGCTCTCGTTGCACAAGCACATAGCGTCATTTTTGGGCTCAAGGGGGTATTCGTAAAAACTATTAGGAGCAAAGGGGAATTTGTTTCGGAAAACCCCGTTTGCCCACCTCGTGCCGGGCCCTGGCGCCTTACGCCACTATGTTGTAGTAGTATGAAGTTTCCAATGTACATGCTTGTGACTTTAGTCGATGGCTAAAAATTAATTACATGTTATTCAACGGTGGTAAGGTGAAAAATATTCAAAGGCAATTCTGCCTATCCTTGCTACAAAAGGGACAAATCTCTGTGCAAATCGCTTCATAATAACTTGAAAATGTTCTCAATCTGTACCTGTAATACGCAGTAAGCCTAAAAATCTGAATATTTGGAAAATAAAATGCAGTTTGTATGTAGATAATCTAGAACTTCTCGTTTGATAACTTTACACCTTAGTCCCAATGGTTGGTACTGAGATTGACTTCCCGATACATACATGTTACACATCAGACAGAAAACGCTGATGTAGCATGAGGCACGTGACGCTTTTGGCAGATATGGTTGTATAGTTGTAATTTTTAGAGTTCCTTCATACTACGCCGCAGGACGCAGCATCCTCGTAGCACGCGGCAGCACGCCGCATGCTACGAGGATGAAGTCGCAATAAAAATATACGCTTACGCAGCACAGCTTCGCCCGTTATGGATGTAACCAGTGGCGTACCGAGCAGGGGGGGGGGCGGGGGGGGGGGGGGGCAAGGGAAGCGGGGGAAAGGGCCCCCCTCCGAGAATGGGTCGCGAAATTTTTAAAAGTTACTTACATGAGTTATAAAAATGTGCAAATGACTTATTTATCTTTGTAAACAATTGTAATAATTTTTAAAATTTAAAAAAAATTAGCCTTATAAAAAAATTTTTCTCGGGTGATCGTGGCCCTCAAAAATCTTGAGAAGCCCAACTAAAGAACTTTCAGAGTGAGTGGCTTACGCCACGCACCTTTATTTTAAAAAATATTTGCCGCCCTCCCGAGTCGAAATCCTGGGTACGCCACTGATGTACACTTATATTTGCTGCACGTTCGTGTTCTCCGAGAGATTCCTTCACAGCGAGTGAGCTTATATTCTCACTTGCTGTGAAGGAACTTCGCGTGTTGCCGCGTGCTGCGGCAGGCTGCTGCGTCTTGCGGTGTAGTATGAAGGAGCCCTTGTAATTATACCACTGTGCCATCTTCGTTCTGGCGCTCTCTATAACAGAATAGATAAAACTTGCTCAAATCGACGAACGCTTTTTGTATGTAGCTTATTCACATCATGTAGTATTTCAATGGAGCCTTGTACTGCAAAAAAATACAATCATTGATAAAATCTTTACATCAAGATCAGCAGTCCATGTATATTTTATCAGTGCTTCTCTGTTTTGCAGAGGCGTGCACTGGCCATATCGGGAAGTGTTAGAGTAAACTTATGCTTTAATAGCTTATTTCTTACATCATTTCACCGTTGCCTAAAGCGAGCAAGCCTTAGTTAAAATGAACCACCCTTCTAGCAGATATATTTGTAACAGACAAAATCCACGCCTCAGATTAGGCGGCTTTTTATTAGTCACCAGCTGACATACCCGGCTCCGCCCGGCCCTGTCAGAAGACTATGTTCAAGGTTGCTATCCCATTCCTGTACAAACCTTTCTCTGTGCCCACTTCTACTTGCCAATTCCCTATCGCCGTTCTGTCTTCGTAATCAGCATGCCTCCCACTGACCAGGGGAACGAAAGCCGCCAGCTTCGGTCGCATGCGCGGACTGCTGGTCCTGGGACGACATGCAACAACGTTGCGGAAGACCAATTAGCCGCGAAAGGCGGCTCAAGCTGGGGGCTTTCGTTCCCCTACTCCTCCCGCTTACCCACCTGTGACTCCCGGGCCCGGATATTGACCTTGTAAAAAAATTAATGAAATCGATAAAAGATACAGATAACTCCAAAAATTTATTTTTGTACTCGTAATCGGCATGCTCACTTACCCCCTGTACAAACTCCCAGCCCAGTAGGTCATACTTTTCAAAAAAAAAACCCAAAAAAATAGATAACGAAAAGTAAAATATGACGCCCGCCTCGAAGTGTATGTGCGCCAAGTTTGGTCCTGATCATCTCAGAGATAAACATTATTTGAACATACGTACAGACAGGCACACAGACATACACACGCACACATAAAAACAGACATTCAGCTTTATATAAAAGATGTTATTCCGTATCAAGCGAAAATTCAGTCATTCTAATGAATTCTTCATTTACTGCCTCAACCTCTGCTTTTTAGAGAACTGCTTCCTTGATCGGTTTAATTTTTAGACTTACAAGCACGCGCACATGGAACAATTCAATGTGCCTTTACTTGCAAGTCTAGAACATCCGTATCAAGTCTGGCGCTGCTGCTTTTATCATCACCAATGATGGAAAACTTCACCAATGATGGAAAACTATTTTTTCGAAGCTTTGCTAAATGGTAATGGTCATTTGAAACAAAAGAACTCTACACAACATCTCTTTCAATGCGCTCTTTAGTCAATGCTATTGTTAGTATAGTCAATGCTTGCTTTGATTCAGCAAGTATTTGCCCAGTTCTGCCTTCAAACCATGCTACCTCGCTTGTGCTCTATTCTAAAAAGAGATTACCGGATAAGCAGTGCTCCCCAAGTGACTTCAAAGAACGGCAGGCCCTCCAAACTAAACTCAAGAAAATGCAGATTTAAGTTCTGCAAAGTTTCAAAAACACTTTAATAACATGCACTTTTCAAATTAGTTCATTTTCCATGTGCCACGTACCAAACGTACTAGGCGCGTTTAGTCTCACTTGAGAGTCCGTAATTCATTTCTCAAGACAGCAAACCAAACTGTCACTTGGAAAATTTCATACCATCTAGAAGCTCAGCAGTCCTCTTGTGTGAAAGATTTCCTTTTTTACTGCAAGTGCAAATACCTGCGTTCTAAAGTGCACTTTCGCGTTGCAAGAGCACTGCCTGCTCCACTGGTTGCAATCGTAATATGCTGAAAGGCAATGCGTATTAATTGTTTCGTTTTTTCAGTAACAGGGATATCCGTTTGTTTCTTGCATGAAGAAATGGTTCAAATAAGCGGAGTTTTGGTGAGTGCATGTTTTCCAAATTTCTCTTGATTTATATATTACAGCTGCTCTCATACATGACTTTTTCTTGTGCGAAAAGCGGTGAAGATCAGTACAAATGTGATTCTAATCGTGGATGGGAAACATGGAGGAGTTCGATTTTTGACAAGTTGAAAAAGAGTGTGGTTGGTTCAATTCTAAAATGAGGAGGTCTAAGTGGAAGCTTTGTTACCAAGAAGAAAATGAATATTCAAAAAAACGTTGTGGAAATCGATGGCATAGAAAATATGTCAAAACTTTGATAAATATCAAAATGTTTCATAAAATAATTCATCAGGAATGTTATTGAGACTATGTCCTATTATATAGTTCAGGCTGTTCCCTTAGATTACTCATGCGGCATGGAATATAATGCGATGGCTTTTGCAAAAAATCGGGAGCAGTATCTAGTTAACCGCTACGCTAGGATTTCGTTCATATACGATTTTAGCGGAGTAATGTGAGGACCGTGTGTACACAAACCTTTCAAACGTGTTATTCATTTCAGAGAAAATCAGAGAGCGCAGCGTGCTGCCGATGCGGTCGTTTACATGGGACAAAGGCAACATATACTTTCGCAAGTAGGTGTTGTAGAACTTTTGGGCACTATGCAGCGCCCTTTTCTTAGCCCAAGTCATACTAGAGAGATGAAAAACAGGATATCTCATCTCATTCATCAAAATTTTCACGGATTACGGTCTACTAAATGCGAGCCCTGAAGTTGTGTATAAGATTATCCACTGATGAGAAATAAGTGTAAATGGACAAATTTGCTGGACAAAAGCCCGTAACTTTGTTTGAACTTCGAAAAGAAAATACTTGCGGTTCTAAGATCTACATAAATTGTATCTGCAACAGATGGAAAACACCCAACATAAAAGGATACTAACTTGAATTGGATGTTTGCGATCGGAATCATATGCGCAAAGATGCTGGAAGCACCGAGTACAAATATGTTTTTCTTAGCTGAACATCATCGGTCAATTTTTCCTGCGCAAAATTTACATCACCTTCTTACATGGATTAGGTAGAACCGAAAGTTCGTTCGCATCATTTCAAAAATCCATAACTTTTGATTTTTCCAACCGATTTGATGGCTTTTATTTTTGTATGAAAGAGTAAGTCATGCTCTTTATGAAGACATCTTAGTGCTTGCTAATGATCATCTGCTGCATAGATAGGGGGGATAGAAGAAAATTAGTCAGAATTCGAATTTTCTGTGTAGGGTCATAAAAATCGGAAACTTGCAGCAAAAATCGGAGCAGTCAGTATTATAGGTTCTTTCACCAGCTCTTTCTAACTGTGCAAAGTTTGCGCTGATTAAGCGCCTCTATGAAAAGTTATGATTCTCGAGCAAGCAATACAAAAGGGCGAATTTGATTTATTTTGGCATTTTTTACGAAAATCATAACTTTTCATAGAGACGCTCAATCGGCGCAAACTTAGCACTGTTAAGAAGAACTGGTAAAAGAACCTATAGTACTGACTGCTCCGATTTTTGTTGCTAGTTTCTGATTTTTTATGACCCTACACAGAAAATTCGAGTTTTGACTAATTTTCTTCTATCGCTCTTATCTATGCAACGGATGATCAGTAGCAGGCAGCTAAGATGTCACTATAAAGAGCTTGACTTACTCTTTCATACAAAAATAAAAGCCATCAAATGGTTGGAAAAATCAAAAGTTATGGATTTTTGAATATGATGCGAACGAACTTTCGGTTCAAAATAATAATGCCATTATTGAGATTTAATGCACTTACATGAACTCATCGGAAAAACATATTCAATATTAGCGATAACATGACGCCTATAACTGACAGATTCTGCCTATAGGCACTCTCGATTTAGTAGTATTTAACTAGCAGGGCTCGACAGAGGTGGCTTTTTCAATTCTGCAAAAACGAAGTCCCTGAAGACTTCGGCATAAAATGACATCACCTATGACGCGATCTTGAACGGATCAAAAAGAATAACGAAAAAAAATAATGGAACTAAACTTAAAACCAACATTGAAAGAGGAAAAAACTGGAGTTGTTTGTATTCGTCGAATTGGCGGCATGTTGTGTCCGGCGCGCACCCCTGCGCGCTTGGAGCAGGCTTGCCGTCGCCATACAAAATATTTGGAGGGCTGTAATAACTAGGCAAAGAAGAGGGGGTTTAGAGAGATTCAAAAGCTCAGTTGTAGGGTTTTTGAGGCAGAATAAAATAATGTTAAACATGCGAGAAAATTATGTGAAGGAAGAAAAACGTATGACTTTTTCTTTTTACAGTCACCTTAGGTGGCTGTCCAGGTGGCTGGAAAGCCACCTAACTCCAAAAAAAGTTTGTCACACCCTCACTTCACATAATTTTTTCAAAATTTTTTGTACATAGTATTGACTACCTATTGCCCATCTACACACCGACTTTGGTGTCATTTCGTTTTCTCTTCGCTGCGAACGAGCCTTTTGTTTATTTCGGGGCAAGTTTCAATTCGCGTGCTTAACCGGCGAAACTGTTGAAACAGGAAATTTTTGGTTTTTGCAGGAATGGAGTCGATAAGACAGGAATGACAATTTGAAGATAAAAGATGATACAAAGGTAGAAGGCGATTGTGCACGGGGGGGGGGGGGGTCCACTTTAACCATATTCCCTTTGCTATTATTTCAAAACGATATCCAGCTTGCCCCGTAAGCCACCTGTGCCGCGCCCTGCTTGATCAGCTGCTGGCTGGACTTTTTCTCGGAAGTGGATTTCCTTTAAAAAACAGTCGAAATTTGCGCTATAGACATTTTGTAAAAGTGCTGTGCACTATATAAACTTTAGAATTAATTTATTAGCTTTTTACCCGAACAATTATTCAAACCTAAACAAAATTAATCAACTCAAATGTATAGTAGTTTCATAAACTTGTACAGTTTTTATAAATCAACGAAATGACAAAATCTTAGCAAAATTCAATCAACAATGTATGTCCAGGTATTGCGCACAACCTTTTACCACCATGCCATTAAATTTTCAGTCCCGTTTTTCCAAAACTCGGCGGGTCTGGTCCCAAAAAGTCGTCTAACCAGCTCTTGAAATCGTCTTCAAAATCAAAACAGACGCCGTTTATATGATCGGCAATAGACTGCAGCAGATGACAATATGCTAGAGCGAGACCTCAGGAGTACACTGAGTACTGATGTACCTCCCGGTCAACTCTTGCAGAACAGCTATGACGACGGTTGCCGTAGGGGACCAATTTTTATCGCGCAGAAAAACTCACTAAACCTGCTTATTAGGCATTTTGTACGGTAGGGATTAGTTTAAAAGTGCAGTCGGGTTGCATACGGTATGGATGACAGTCTTGTTCTTGCTTACCAAAAGTCAGTGCAGAACCTCCTGCCCATCCTGCAAAAAGCCTTGTTCAGGTGACACCCTGCAAACTCTTTGTTTATAAAGCAACCCAATCCCTTTTTGTCTCAATTGATGAGAAAGCGCATTCTTCCATGAATGGCAAGAAAACCTGAGCAAAACGCTCTTCTTTTTTTTATTAAAAAAAGAGCAAGTGCCGAAAACGCTTCTTTTTGCCTTTTGAGAGTTCCTTTTCTGGAAGCTGAGAAACCAAAACAGATCAGCTTTTCAAAGAAAATAAGTCTGTTTTAAAGAGCATGAGTAGCTCTCTTCGGTGATTATGCTCTTGCCTCAAATCAACAGTTCCTCAGAAAAAAAAAACGAGAACGAGAATGAAAACTCTACGAACTTATGAAACGACCTAATAGAATAACTTGATCATAATTTGAGGTTAAATCCATAAACCAAGTTGACTTCACACTTTCGAACTCTTACATCTGACACATTAGGAGGAAACACTTCTAGACCTATACCTATTTCTTTCCCGCGCGCATTCATTAGCAGTCACTTGAAGTTCTTCTACGTGAAGGCCAACAGCTCGAGAACGAAATCTGGAAAATCTATTGCAGAATTAAAAAACCGTTGATCAACTTATCAAATAAAGCTTTCGTAAGCAAACAATCAAAATGAAAACCAGATGTGACGTAAGATTCAACTTAGACTATCATTTACGAGCACGAGGTGCTGCCACTGCAGAGTAAGCACGCTTAAAATTCAGATCCCTTCATCTTCCTGTAAGAGATCCAATAATGACGCGGTAGACACCTTACCACTTCGCTGGATCCATTTGCAAATATTTTTTGCTTGCATCCACGTTGTACATTGCCTCTCGAAAGTTTACCGTATACGCCAGGTATACGCTCTTAAATGGGTATATTCCTAGAAATGAGGTACGCGTTTTTGAATAATACAACTGGAGAAGTTGAAGGTAAAGTGAAAATAAATCACGTCTCCCGAATTTCTCTCATTTCGTTTTTTATGTTAGAATATAATATCGAAATTCGGAAAATTTGCTCGTGATTTCTTGTTTTGCTGGCAGATCTTCTGCGGGACTTAACTACGATAATCTGAGGTAATAAGAATACTTCGACCCTCTCTAAGGTCTCGTTTTCAAAAAAAAATCATGCGAGAAGTCCATTTAGAATGGGGAAAATGGGATTTTACTCCATTTCAAAGGACTTAAAGCCCATTTCACTCCCCACAGCAAAGTGAGCTGGGACAAACTCCATTTTTAACCTTATTGCATATTTTTGAATGCCATTTTTTGGAGTGTGTTGCCTAGCCCATTTCAGGGCTATAAGTAAACGAAAAAAAGTTTTTATCTCTTTTATGGAGTCTGCATTCAAAGTAGTTCAAAAATCATGGAGGAAGGTTAATAATTCAATACTCACTAACAAAGTCAACTGCTCTCAAATATTAGTTTAATGGGAAGGTGTTCGTGCAATTCGATAAACTTATCAATCTCCAAATCATCAAACTCTAAACTCAGATTCGTGCTTTTTGATGTGAAAATTAGATAAGGTTCGCATTTGCGAGAATTATACCCCTTATAAAGGCAGTGGTTCGGCAAATCTCCACCTAGTGAAATTTTCGCTTACCTGGGGTTTTTCAATACGCTGATCCCGAAAACGCACTTTTGAGATCTTGAAAACGGCGAAAACGAACGCTTTTCAACGCCCTTCTTTTTGGAATTGGACGAGTGGAGCAGGGCTGATGACGCTAAATCGTTGCAGGACCCAATGTTTATAGCATTGCGGCGGCAGCCTTCAACTTGAGACTTTACAAGATTAGAATACACCTCTAACCACACAAAATCTTAGAACGATTTTTACAATGGATTTGGTCAAGATACTGATGGCAAAAATTACAACGATTGAATGTCGTTGAGAGCATCTGAGTAATTGTTGTAGAGAGCATTCTCCTCCGTCTATGTAAAGTTCAAAATTGAAAATTTTTTTGAAAAATTACGGAAATTTCTCAAAAATTGACTATATATAAAGTGTTATAGAAGTCGGCTCAAGGATGTTCTAATTAGGGGCAAGATGGGGAAAATATGTAAACATCAGTGCGGGGGAAGATGAACTGAAGGGAAGCACATTAACGACGTTATCAATCGTTTGTAAGTTTGTACTTTCTCTAACTCAAAAACAAAGCCCTTCAGTCTGTAGTGCATATGAAGTGTGTTCAAAAATAAGTATTGCCTCCTGCAGAAAATTGCTACAAATTTGGTTCAATACGGATCCATAGAAAGTCTTCAAAAGCAAAGGTTTGGATAATTATTGAAAGTATTAGGTCATTCCGTGTACGGTCGATGAGTCAGTGTGTGTACGGTGTGTGGACTGT